GGGTGTGTTGCTTGGTGACGGCGGCCATTACGCGCCGAAACCTATTCCTCGATGGGGGAGATGGGGGCTGTTCGGCCAGACTCAGAAATCGACCAGCTTTTTGGGAACCTCACGAAATTCCCGATGGCCCCCACGCCCTTGCCGACAGCTTACCTGTGGCTTATTTCTAGTGCTCAGGCTGTTTTCTCCTGTGACAATTGGCAGAATAGAGTAAATAATAATTGTGAATAGTTTTGCAAGGAGTGTGTTAATCATTTGGAAATACAGCGTAAAGGAGTGAGTTGTGTTTACAGTTCTGCAAAATGAGTGCTGGGCACTCATATTGTGTGTTACAAAAGTTCAAACTTAGTACTGAGCACTGTTTGTGCTTTTGGATTTGAGAATTTGGGAGTGGTTTTGCAATAGACAACAATAGTTTTAGAAATTGTGCTGTAAGAATCACTGTCAGAGTCGAAGCAGTCAGAAAAAAATATATAGAATCTATATCTATCTATCTATATTATAGATAGATAGATAGATAGATAGATAGATAGATAGATAGATAGATAGATGATAATAATAATAATAATACATTACATTTATAAGCGCCTTTCAAAACACTCAAGGACACTTTACAATCAAAACAAGATAGATAGATAGATAGATAGATAGATAGATAGATAGATAGATAGATAGATCAGCTAGATAGATAGATAGATAGATCAGCCCTGATATTTTGGCTGATGAATGCATGGCTTTAATTCTGAAGAAATAAACATGGACTCTGTTTCATTGGTGAGAGCCACCTCTTTTAGGAAACTGACTTTGCATCTTGTCTCTAGTCAGGTTTGATTCGCACTCAAGATGCAGACTACTTCTTGAGGCCGGTGCCCCACCACTTGGCTCTGAAAGAGAACTTCTCAGCACCATCTCATCACCAGCCACACATCCTCTACAAGAGTGCCAGGGAGAGACGACATCACCCTCGGGTGTTTCAGAAGAGATCATCAGATTCAGCTCCTAACAAATCAAACAGGAGTTTTGCCACGAGAAAGCAAACCAAATTAAAGACTGATGAACAGGACCAAGGATGGCAGCAAAGTGATCATCCCAGCAACAGTAACAGACATGTTGACCAGCAGGAGCATCACAGCAGAGGAAATTACGACAGCAACCGTCGGCAAGATGATGACGACACTTACGAAGAGAAGCAGAGGCAACACTTCTGCGGAAGACGGAAGAAATGTATGTAAGGAAAACTTTTCATTGTGTTGTTTACATCGTCATGATACCAGGGCCATGCAGAAACACAAAGAGCCCCGTTAAGAGTTGAAGGAACAATGGATGTGAAAAAGTTGAAGTGACATTCACAAGGTCTTAAACGCCCCCTCTCATCCAATTCATTTTCTATACCGCTTTTTCTCACTCGGTTCGCGGGTGAGTCAGTGCTTTTTCCAGCTGCCGTTGGTCGTGACATGGCGTACACCTTGGCCTCGTTGCCAGTCAATCACAGGGCACAGATTGACAAACAAAAATTCATCCCCACATTTGCATCTGTCAACAATTTTAGTGCTTCAATTAACCTGATATCAATGGCTTTGAAATGTGGGAGCAAGAGAAGGGCCAGATTCGAACCTTGCAAAACCTTGAGTCAGCTGTGCTAACGACTACTTCACTACACTATTGAAGTTATCAGGTTATGCCGCGTTTCCATTCGCCACTTTCCTTTCCTATACAACAGGCTCGGGATGAGCTGGGGGTGGGATGAAATGGACTGCGCAAGTCTGCGCAATACACAATTCACACTCGCAGCATAACATGACACAAGTTGTGAGTCTTTGTAACAGAATTAAATCCTATCGTAGCATGAAACTGTAGAATCACAGATAATAATCTCAGCCCGTTATTTTGTGCAGTCATGACGCTTAAATGTGTGTGTGCATCCTTTGCATCGTTCTTAAAGGGGAAGTCAGTCTACAAATGCTCTTTACAATCATATGATATATGTGTCCCCACTACTTTGAACAACATTCTGAAGTCTAAACAACTTTAAACACGGCATTCTGATTAGTAGTGCGTTGGTGGAATATGAGTTAAGGAGCAAAATCCACACGTTTTTATCCATCTCAGGGCCCGTCCATGTTGCCACTTGTGATCAACTGAAACTGCCACCAGAGTTGCTCAGGGCTCAGGTAACAACCAATCAGGGCTGAGCTTCAGAAATCAGGGTGAGCAGTGACTGGTCATTACCTGAGTCCCGAGTAACTGTGATGTCATTTTCAGTCAACAAATGGCAAAATGGCCACTCCCTGAGATGGATAAAAATGGATGCATTTCTGCTTTATTCTTATTCCACAAATTCAATATGAATCAAAATACCGTGTTTAGACTAATGGGGCTGCATAAAACATTATTTTAAAGAAAATGTTTGTGTTGACTTCCCCTCTCAGAAAACATATATTGGTCAATGCCACATTCTTCTTCAAAAGTGCATCTGTTACCTTGCTGTGTTCGGGGTAACTCATGGGAAAATGATCACCAAACTCGCATGTGACAACACATTATACCAAGTACCATATGTCAGTTTATACTCTGGTTGAGATGACCTGTGAAAGGTTATGGGAAACCTGTGTAGTAGTTGAATAGTCGCTATGCACCACGATAAATGTTTAGGCTCGATCCATGACTTCAAGATCATTATACATTATCTGATCCCTGAGGTCTGAAGTGGTACCACCACCATTAACCTGCAGAGCTCCAGCTGTATGTCCCAAGTGGAAACAAACTGTGTTGTCATTCCCTGAGGATGACATCAGTGAACACCTGTGCTGCGTTTTAGTCACAAACCCACATTGGCGGATCCCCAGCTTACCGTCTATATAAGCAAACATTCAAGACAGAAAGTGTAAGTTGTTCATTGTAATAACTGGAATCAAGGAAGATTCAAATGTTTAAAATGAGTGAGGCTACTGCATGACTTTAAAGACATAGATTTAGTTGTATTCATTATATGTGGTGACAAACAAAATGAAATTAGATGGTTGGTTTCAGATTAAGGCCCTCTTGTCATACACAGGTGCCCAAATGCTTGGCGTAAAAATGGGTGCGTCCTCATATTCTTGTTGGGGCAAGTCAAGTTTACCATGTTTGGGAATTTGGTAGAGGGCGTTGCAACTCCCTGGGTGCTCTGGGGGACAGAGCTGATGCCCCAGGGGTTGACAATTTGGTGACAGAAAGTGCACTGCGCTCACCGTATAAACGGGCGTATCTCCATTTTCGGGACGGGGCAAGTCTAGTATAGCGTGTTTGTGCGTAACCACCTGCACCTCTCTAGAAAAATACCTAAAGAAAGAAAAAGTCACCAATGTGCACAATTTGACTGCGCTTTTGCTGGACTTTCGTTGGCACGAAATCAAGGCCCTAAATCTTTATCATTATAGCGCGTCTGTCCTTTGTTGCACAGGTAGATTTTCCATTATTATGATCTCATCAAGTAACAAACACCAACATGCATAGTGCAGGTTTAAACTATAACTAATCGTAGCAGAACATTGTGGCTACCAGAGTCAACAGAGCTATCGTAGATGATACACACACACACACACACACACACACACACACACACACACACACACACACACACACACACACACACAAGCTATGTCAACTGCACTGCAGCCGATAATCGCGAAATAAGACCATCAAAATATAAACTCCTCTCAGTTTGATGTAGCGCAGTGCCACATCACTGCAAACGACCACTAATATTAAACATACAACATGGTGAAATAAATACCTTTTCATTTGAAATTTAAACTGAGTATCATTTTCTTTAAAAAGGCATCATGTCAGAAAAATCCAAGTGCTGCATGCATACAGTCCACAGGAGGGCTTTCAATGTTGTTGGTGTACTGAATTTTGGAGCAGATAAGAGGGAAGCAATGTGTGGTAAGAGTTGTATAGCTTGCAACTCCCATTTCCAGCTGTTTTTTTTGTTAAAGTTGAAGTTCCAATTGCTTTAATTTGCTCATGATTTAGTTGCATCGTTTCAATATTTGGTTGTTTTTTTTTTCCCCCCCAGACATGCCGAAACCGAAATAAGACCATCAAAATATAAACTCCTCTCAGTTTGATGTAGCGCAGTGCCACCTCACTGCAAACTATCACTAATATTAAATATACAACATGGTTAAATAAATACCTTTTCATATGAAATTTAAATTGAATATCATTTTCTTTGGAAAGGCATCATGTCAGATACATCAAAGTGCTGCATGCAAACAGTCCACAGGAGGGCTTTCAGTGTTGTTGGTGTACTGAATTTTGGAGCAGATAAGAGGGAAGCAATGTGTAGTAAGAGTTGTATAGCTTGCAACTCCCATTTCCAGCTGTTTTTTGTTAAAGTTGAAGTTCCAATTGCTTTAATTTGCTCATGATTTAGTTGCATCGTTTCAATATTTGGTTGTTTTTTTTTTCCCCCCCAGACATGCCGAAACCTCCAAGAGAGCATCTCTCCCAGCTTCCAGATGAGTACAAGTTCTTTCCCAGGAACAAGAGGGCGATTATTGTAAAGGACCAAAATAATCCAAATCTAAATGTTGAGACACTGGTGGTAGTGGACAGAAAGATGATGGACAACCATGGCCATGAGAACATTACTACATATGTTCTAGATAGATAGATATAGATATACGTACAAGTATATAATACAAACAAATGCAATGTAATGCAATCATAATGACAATAATATCTTGTTTCTGCCACAACATGAATTTTGGTCATTATCGATATAAAGAAATCCTTTATTAGTCTCATAACGCATGCAACTACTATGTGAAAATGAAAACAAAGTGATTCACTGTAGCTGTTTTAGGATTTGACAATCTGTTATGTGTTTCGGGAGATCTCAAGTTTTAGTAAGTAGTTTTGATTGTCTTTTTGACCTCTGAGTTTTCACTTAAACTTGGAAACAAAACACAGTCCTGAGTCGAGACATGTGTCAGTGCAGGAAAAAGCCCAAACATCAGGAACATAAGGAAGGAATGTGAATTTCAAGATTAGATAAATGCAGAATGACAAGTACCTGTGGTATTTACTTGACCTGATTGAATGATATGGGTGAGTGAGGTCCCAAGATCAAGAGACCATTCAAGCTTTCTCATGAATGCCATAACATTAGGAACACCTGCACAGGCTCATGCCCAGAAAGTCTCATTTCTAATTGGCACCTGGGGTCTTTTTTTTCCATGTTAGGCCTGCCTTCTGATTGAATGAATGTTGGTGCTTGCTTCGTCATTTACGTCAGTCTGACAATTCATAAGGGAGGTGCCAGAGTCACTTCTTATAATGACTTATGTCGCTGTGTCTAGGTGTCAAGCCTCTTCAAAGATGGAACCATAGGAGGGAGCATCAATATCGTTATAGTGGGACTTGTGCTTCTTGATGAAGAGCAGGTGAGGATATGTGGAGGGCATATTTTTCCTTTCAAATGACACGACAAGGCTTTTCGACTAAAAACATAACAAAGACGAAGGAGCACCAGCCGCAGCTCATAGGTGCGGAGGCTATAAAATAGTGTGCAACAACTTTGCATTTCCCAATAAGAACAGGTGAAAACCACACACCCCCATTGTGGATTAGACTCTAATTTAAAAAAAAAAAAACCTCTCAAGTTAGTGAAATCATGAAAATCGATTTTTTTTCAGCCCTCCTACATATTAGTCAAGCTCCACTTCCTTCAGCCCCAGGAAAGAAAAAATCCTCACGTTGTGCCTGGTATCTGGTATTTGTTTGATATTTGTTTTTTTTTTTATTGGCTGTAGTTTATAGTGTTGTAGAACTACATCCATATCATAATGTACGATATGTTTCATATACAGTACAGTGGACCCCCACCTACTAGTGTTTCGGCGCCTGAGGACTCCCATATTCACTGATTAGTTGGTTTGTTCAATATTAAATTTTTTTTTTCTTTTCACCTCAATTTACCACCGTTTTTCATGGAAGGCACACATTGAATCTTCATCGCCGTTTTTTTTAAAACATTTTTTGAAGCATTTCAAAGGGCGACAATTATACACAGATTTTCGCTTTTCAATCAATTCCTATCCCACATGAATAGTAGTGTGAATCAAAACTGGACAGGAAGCTTTTTATAAGCTCGGGAAATTGATCACTGGAGATGGTGCAGGCCAGTGTACATAACGAAGTCTGGTTTACTGTATGTACTTACGATTCAATCATAATTTCTACAATTAACTGTAATCGTCATCCCTCTCATTGCTACCCTTATGTCCCAGGATGGATTGGTGATCAGTCACCATGCAGACCACACACTGAACAGTTTCTGCCAGTGGCAGTCTACTCTTGGAGGCCAGGAGGGTCAGCGCCATGACCACGCCATTCTACTCACTGGACTTGACATCTGCTCATGGAAGAATGAACCCTGTGACACTCTGGGTACATCTTTGTCACTGTCATTGCACTCCTTAAAACTATATATTTAACTGTGAATTAAGAATAAATAATGGGGGGCATTCTCTCAAAAATGTAAAGGGCACAAAAAAAAAACACATCAATCACATATCATAGAGTGAAACTGAAAATACATCAGGTTAACTTGTTTTCATGTCACAACAATGTCAACTCTCCTCATCATTTATTTACAACGCTTATAAGCCACAAACTTTCTTCCTTTACATTTCCCTCTGTCTGGGAAGATGCCCCTGTCCTTTGTCACATGGTGTGACACTCAATAACAGATGTTGAAAATATGAAATAGATAAATATGTTTTCTAATTCAATAAAATAGAAATAGGCTCACACAGAACAAACAATCAAATGAATTTCTCTGTTTTAAAAACATAATTACTGCCAGAATTTGCATAACATAACATACCCGTTCGATAAAATCATCGGTCTTGAATTCATTTAGGTGATTGCTGTTTTTACTTAGACCATCGAGCATTGTTTATTGTATTATAAATTGAATATGTGCACGCACAGCCACACAGAAACACAGAAACACTCAATGTAACACAATGAATTTTGAGTGAGTGGTATCTAATAAAACAGCTTGTTTGCGGTGATGACAATCCAACGACAGTATTTTCCTTCATTTGAAAAAAAAAAAACGCAGAGAGAAACACACATAGAACAAACAACGTGTGTGTGGGGGGGGGCAGCTCTTGCAAACAAGTGTCTGTACAGTATTTTTGTTAATCTTCAAGTTGTTCTAGAGGAGCTTGATAGCACTGTTAATTGTCATGGAGTTTAACCATGTCAAAATATAATGTGTGACTTGTTTAATGTATAGTTAGGTATTGTGCAATAATTTTCATCCACATATTTCAGGAAATTGCTATTTCTATTTGTATTAGCAAATTGTCACACTTTTTTTCAGGTTTTGCCCCTATAAGTGGGATGTGCAGCAAGTACCGTAGCTGCACCATTAATGAGGACACAGGTCTAGGATTGGCATTCACCATTGCCCATGAATCTGGACATAAGTAAGGACTATCTGCCATGATAACAAATTGACAAATTGTTTGTTTTTTTCAACTACACAAATGCCTTTTGTGTTCATTCTTTAGTTTTGGAATGGTCCATGATGGTGAAGGAAACATTTGTAAGAAGTCAGAAGGCAACATCATGTCGCCCACATTAGCGGGACACAATGGTATCTTCTCATGGTCTGCATGCAGCCGCCAGTACCTCAGCCGCTTTCTCAAGTAAGAAAAGACAATTATTACGATTACTGATTGATATATATATATATATTGGTATATAGATAGATAGGTATAGATATATGTAGGCTGCAGTTGTTTGCATGCTGTGCGTTTGTGCTGTAACTTTTTCACACATGCCTTGTTGGGTACGGATACGGAGAGAAAAGGCCAACAGGCCTTGCTTGCTTATGTGTATAGACACACACACACACACACGCACACACACACACACACAAGCATGCACAAACTCATCTTCCATGCTAAAGCGGTATGGTCACTGCAATAATCCTTTCTAAAATATTTTGTCAGACTGCTGCTGTGTTTAAGTTTTCCGTCTAAGAGTCAGTGATATCACTTACTGGAAATCCCCTACTTGTCTGAATCCAGGTGACCTAGCTTTTTCCTCTCCAAATTCAGTGCTAATACATTTAAAAATTGATTGCGTTTGGCAGAATGTCGTGTTCCCTTGGCAACACATAGACCATCAACCGTGAAGCATAATGTGGCTCTCGATTAGGATGTCATTCCAGTGTTCAGGGGACAACCGAGTTTATGTATAATTGCAGAGTTAGACGTTTTACATTATGATACTTTACAGCCTGACATGGCAAGAATTTCTTGTTTGTATCTTTATATATTGGAGAATATTTGTCCTATGCACGTGACAGTAGTTCAGATGATCACAAAAACTGTTCATGATGACACTATTGCAATATACTGTCATACAAGCACAATTTTACTTCTTTACATGCTATTACTTAAAAGGCCTGGACCAACCTTTAGATCTGCGGTGACCAACCTTTTTGAAACGAAGGGTTACCGGTACTTCTTGGATACTCATTCATGCGAAAGGCTACCAGTTTGATACACACTTCTGAAATAGCAAATTTGCGAAAATTACCTTTTATTCTTTATCAATGGTACGCTTATATGTGGTTATTAATAATATTTTGTGACGAAACTGATCATGTTAATGAGTTCTCATGATATTTAGGAAACAAATTAATATCAATCTATAAAACTTTATTTCGATAAGTCTCTGCCATTGTTTACATTTTCAAATGATCACTGCGACATTTTTTTGAGAGAATCATTATGTCCCGTCACTGGTGAGCTATTTTTAGAAAATCATTTTGGTGATGTGACCATTGCATTAAAAATTGCAGGAACAATTCATAAGTTTGCTCGGTGTGTTTTATTGTTACATCAAGGTGTCAAGGGACTGCAGATGGAAACCCGCCAATGGCTCGAATCTGGCATATTTACATGCAAATTTTATTTATTTGAATTGTCACTTAAAATAAAATATACTGAATAAGTTATTTAAATAGACATACCGTATTTTCCGCACTATAAGGCGCTTCGGAGTATAAGGCGCACCTTTAATGAATGGCCTACTTTAAAACTGTTTTCATATATAGGGCGGACCGCATTATAAAGTGCAGAGAATAGAAGCTACAATAGTGGCTGCAGTTGCATTATGCATCCACTAGATAGAGCTATGCTAAAGGAATATAGTACAATACCATACAAGACAGCTTTATTTATATAGAGTTTTCACAACCGCTGCAGCTGTAACAAAGCGCTTTACAGAACCTTTTAAATACTGCGTCCAAGAAATCTGAATATTGATCCATATATAAGGCACATTGGATAATAAGGCGCTCTGTCGGCTTTTGAGAAAATGGAATGCTTTTTGGTGCGCCTTGTTGTGCAGAAAATACGGTACATCTATCTTAGGTTAAATGTTCTGTGAAGCGCTTTGTTAGTTACACCTGTTGTGAAAGTGCTACTCCATATAAATAATGATGCTGCTATTGTTTTGCTCTTACTCACCTGTTTTTCTTCTGCATAAGTTTTAATACGGAAATGTTTTTGTATTTTAAAAAAAAATTGAGTCTAACATTAAACTCTAAAGTTAAGTAGTTTATCTTGCAGAAAAAATAAAAACGACAATACTGTATCTTGTGGGCGGCGTGGGATCTATTCCGGCATCCACCGTGACCCTGTTCCGGATGGATGGGTGTGTCTTGTCCGCGTTTTTTTTTTTTTTCCTTCCAAACATGGATAAAGTATGACATTGTGGTTTTGTAATTATATGTTAGATTATACAAAGTATGTTCTAAAACTTGATTGATGAAAAACAATTTAAAATGCAAATAGTTGCATAAACATTGAACAATGGAATTGCTCACTCTTCTTGGAATTTTCCCTGCTGTATCATGGTTGGCCATGTTTGTTTGGCCTTTTGTTGCAAGGCATATTTTATGAAGTACTTTTCATCTTTTTTTTTTTTTAATCCCAAGCACCTCGAAATATGAAGTATATCAGTCATGCTCACAAAGTCTTTGCTTATCTATATCGGTGGTGGCCAGCGTACTTGAGTCTGAGCTTGGTCAAAAAAGTGAATGGAAAAACAACCCACAAACAACTGGTAGCTGTGCAACAAAGGCACACATTGTGACAGTAAGAAAAAGACTGAAATACGTAAATACATTTTCACGCAAATTGTAAATGGAGGTGAGTGCTTTTGATAGTGTAGCAGAGGAACCTTTGAAGGCCTTCAGTGTACAGTGCTGATTTATCAATTGATGTATCAATTTGAATTTCACAATCAAATCAGGATAACCTCTTTATCAAATGCAAACTACTGACTGGGAAAGAACAAGGACAGACACTGATGTATTCTGCCCTCGTCTACTTTTTGCCAGCTCGGCCCAGGCTTTGTGCCTATCAGATGAACCCAGCGGAGTCAAGGAGTATCGTTATCCTGAGAAGCTGCCAGGCGAGCTGTATGATGCAGACACACAGTGCAAATGGCAGTTTGGTGAAAAGGCCAAGCTCTGCACCCTTGATTTTAAAAAGGTACTTTTTTTTTTTTTTTTTTTTAATACATCACATAGCCTGTGCATCCCCTCTGTGAACTGTCACCTTACCGTGGAGGAGGGGTTTGTGTGTCCCAATGATCCCAGGAGCTAAGTTGTCTGGGGCTTTATGTGTTACATAAACATGTCATCCTCCCAACATGCTTGTCTAAACACCTAAACATTACAATGCTTCAGCCTTATTTCGGCAATGAACTATTTTTTTTGGTTTCTCATGGTTTTGTTCTTGTATTATCTTCAGTTGTGCCTGAATGCACTTTCTCCGCTCATGCCCCTGGTAGCACCGAGGTGCTTGAGCCCAGAGTTCTAAGCAACACCTGCAGTCTTGGCCTGTCCCGATATTTGTCACTCATGAAACAAAAGGACAAGAATCAGCTTCCCAGCTGCAGTTTATTGCCCTATGAGATCATGTATTGCCATTTTTGGAAGGCAATTGAAAATGGTCTCTTTGCTAAGAGAGTATGAAGCTAAAAAATGGTAGGCTCTGGAAAACACCATAGATTCGATACTGCACTGTGTTGTTAAGGTTTGCTTTTCCTATATTTTAATCTCATGATCAGCTCAATGATACAAGGAATTTTATTGTCCAACACACATATACACATGATATGGTAGGAAATACAATACCTGAGATCCCACATGGGATTGATGAAATAATCACCAGAAAGGGCATACTGACATGGGGAGTGAATATCTCAGCTCATAAACTGCCATTCACTATTTGTTCACTCCCACTATGTCTCACTTGATCTCTTCCACTTTTGCAATTTTTTTAGTCTTAAACAAGCTAAACAGCTGGACAAATAGACCTTATGATGGACTCCAGGGTGGCTCTTAAGGGGAAAGGTGCTGACGACGAGGTGCCTGTCAGCATCTGTGCTGCTTTGTCAAACTCCGATGCAGTCGTTCAGATAGTAAGGGAGTGGAATTGCTGAAAAGTAGCAGACTATGTTTTTCTGGCAACATGATCTGGGAAACCATACAGCGCTCTTCCAGACCACTGCTGAGAAACACAACCAGTAGATCATGTGAATTGAATGTTTTATTATTCTTGTGATTGCACATTATTATTTCTTTGTTTCTCTCTGTATCTGTAGCCAGCAATTCAAATGAATGTTCATTGAAAGTGACCCTCTTCACTCAGTGTTGTTTTCTTCTTGCATATATAGGATTGTGCGAAAGAATTATATCCTTATCAGATGTCTCAAACGTCACTCCTCAGTTGAGTGTGCAAATTCCACTAAACCAAGACCAGTGTCATATTTGTAGTTGTGCATCCACTTGTCAGTTAGTAGGCTGCTTTCTGGTAGGTGGACGATGATAAGTGGATAACCGGTTCCATTTACCTCGCCTCTTGCCTGAGGGGAGAGAATGGAAGAAGGTCTGTGTGGGATGTGCTGGGTGCTGCAGGATGTAATGCCATTCCCATTGCTTCTGTGTAATTGAGTTTTTAACTAGGGGTGGTAGTCATCATACTTCTATCATTTGGAGATGAGACTAAAACAGCAGAAATGTCCTTTGTTTTTCTTCCAGGATATCTGCAAGGCTCTTTGGTGTCACCGCATCGGGAGGAAGTGTGAGACCAAGTTCATGCCCGCAGCTGAAGGCTCTTCCTGTGGACCTGATATGGTGACTAAAAATTTGTTTACATTATGGCTGCACAATATATTGACAAATATCTTTAGTGCGATACTGGTCCATATAATATCCATATCACAAAGGCGTGCAATCATTTTTATATGAAACTGTATGCATTTGTCAGACTTCGACCAATCAGATGCAACCTCAAATGCACATCACCATCCAATAATTGAACAGTATCTAGGGGCATTACAATTAATTCGCTAATAACGCATTGCTTATTTTCCTTAGGTACACATTTTAAATCTTCTTCTTCTTCTTCTTCTCCTTTCGGCACATCCCTATTCAGGGGTCGCCACAGCGAGTCAGTAATTTCCATCCGCCCCTGTAAACCGTCCTACCAACTCGCATGGTCGTCTTGGCAAAAGTTTTACGCCGGATGCCATTCCTGACGCAACCCTCCCCATTTCTCCGGGCTTGGGACCGGCACTGGGGAACAGTGCACCCCCAGGGGAGGGCACTGCCCCCCAGCGGCTGGGTTAGGTACACATTTTAAATATCACAATAATATTGCTATCGCTATATTCAACACCCGCATTGCATATCACTGTTTTTCCAATATTGCGCAGCCCTTGTTAGAATTGAAACTCTATGGGTGATACATTCTGACAATATTAATCAACTAAAGCACAGCATCATATGGCATCATCATGTATACAAACTTCAATGATGTTGTGATGTGTAAAACAAAAAACAGAATACACTAATTTGGAAAATTCTTTTTTAACTCGTCCAATTCAATAAACAACAATTGTGGCCACTCAAACCAACATGTAGTTATAGGTAGAAAATAAGAACAACAAACGTTGTTTAGAAGTACATCTCTGGTTGGTTAATACAAGCGTGTGATTTCATGGCACCATCTCAACAAAGAAATCTAACTTCGGTGGGGAAAAAAAAATGACACAAAAGACAACTGGATATTTGAAAGTGGTGTCCTTCGGATTTACATTGCAGGTGCAAAGGTTTGAATTGAATGAATTTTAGTGGTGATTTTTCTTTCAGGGAATTAAGGGTGCCGAACATACTTTCTTCTTTGAAGGGATATTACTCAGGGACACAATGCTATGAAAGACAAACGGTAAACAGGACATACTCCTGTATCCCCCCAAAATTGGCCCAATTTTGTGGAAAAAGTCAAGTTCTATAAAAGCATGGTTGGATCAATTTGACGTGCAGAAACAGTCATGATTCCACTACCACTTGTGTAATATTCACAAATTAAAAAAACAAAGCAACATGTTTTTTATTATAATGTTCAAGGAGCAGCTGCAACTGCTTTGCCACTGATGTTTGAAAAAATATGCTCGTGGGATCAGTGTGCTGCAATGAAAACCCTGTGCGAAAGGGAACATCCCCACCTATTACAACATGGATCATCCCAAAGGCCAGTTTCCTGTGACGTCTGATGCCATCTTTACGCAAAGAGATCCAATTCATGATCTAAACCGGCTGTGACAGGAGTCTAAATTTCAGAATGCGTTCTAACATGACATGCAGGGATTTGAAGCAAGGTCACACTACTTTTGAAAAATGTAACTGCTTTGTGTTTTGACTTTTTTTTTCATCTATAAATTCTAAACACGTCCATTGGTCTCTGACAAAGCATCCACATGACATCCAACCTACCATCCATGCTTGGGCTGGCTGAATGGATCGCATGTGATAATGCAGAGTGGTGGTAACAGTGAACCTCAGTGAAACCTGACCTCTTGTCTACTTGATCATTTAAAACACAAGACTAAATGCATTTGTGACAACTGTTGAAATAAAACAGAGTTCTGGCTTTTCAGTTCAGAAGACAAAAGACGCCCAAAGTAGCACTAAATATTGCATGTTTATTCTAAAAGGAAATTATAAAGCATGCTTTGATTGATTAATATGTGGTTCCAAGCATCGTTTCGAGTCACTCAGTATCAGCCACGATTAAAATAAATTCTAATGGGAAATTACATCTGAAGAATATCTTGTCTGGTAATAAAACAGCCATTAGAGACAGTGAATAAGGAGCCCAAAATATGTTTGACCACCCTTGAGTTGACATCTGCTTCCAAAACTTGTACATTGTAGTAATTTTTGTGGGCTACTATTGTTTGCTTTGCTTTTGAATGTTGGTAACTGCTGTGTCTTTGCTTGTGTGAATCCCATTGAGTTGCCTTGTGTATGAAATGTGCTATATCAACTGCCTTTCCTTGCCTGGCCTATGGTGATGATATGTTGACAACCTAATGCAGGGGTAGGGAACTCCGGTTCCTGGAGAGCCATATCCTGCCTATTTTAGAACCTTCCCGACTCCAACACACCTGATTCAATTGCTCATGATCGTTTCAGGCCTCAACAGCGCTTGCTGATGAGCTGATCATTGGAATCAGGTGTGTTGGAATAGGGGAGGGATCTAAAACAGGCAGGATATGGCTCTTGAGGAACCGGAGTTCCCTACCCCTGACCTAATGCATCGTCAAAATGCATTTATCATCTTCCCAGTGGTGTCGAAGGGGTCAGTGTGTGAAACACGGTGATGAGGGCCCGAGGCCCCAGCACGGCCAGTGGTCAGAGTGGTCGGCTTGGTCTGTCTGCTCGCGAACTTGCCAAAGTGGTGTCACCTATCGGGATCGGCACTGCAATAAACCGAAGTAAGTGATAGCACAATACACAACTTTACTTTCATGTACAACAGTGAAAAAAAAGCTTCACAAAAACCTGAAATCTCTAAAACTTGACTTGTCGAAGGCAAAATTGAAATTTTGAATGGGAACCATTGTGATAAAGAGACTGTGGTAGGTAAGCATCACTTCGTACAATGCTTTGCAACCTTTACTGAACCGAGACACCAATTTCACATGAGGTAAATCTCACAGCAGACCATCAACCCAAAATGTTGCCCCCTCAAAAAATACATAAAAAATAAAAGAAAAGTATATATATATATATATATATATATATATATATATATATGTGTGTGTGTGTGTGTGTGTGTGTGCGTGTGCGTGTGCGTGCGTGTGTATGAATCCTGCAGTACCATTTAGTTTCTTCACAGATTTACTACCCAGTGTGAAATCAAGGCATGCTGAGTTAAACACGAAGCTGAAGGAAGCCATGACTCATTTTGGTGTATGAATGGCAACAAGAGTGTATACTAGCTTATTTTACCTTTTGCCATCTGATGAACGAGCATTTAATTGTTCATTTCATTATTGGTCACTTGAATACAGTAGATAAAAAAAGATATATTGTGAAGATACGTGAAATTGGATAATTTGATGGTCTGTCATGGCACACAAGCGTTCCGTTGGGTTTTTATATTCGAGGTGTCATCAGGACTCGTGTTACAAAATATATGTTTCAAACCCAAACTACTTCTTCAATGACTTTGTTTGTCAGTTTCATTGTAATTTGTCAACTACTTCATAATAGTTGCAAAACTTCCAATCATTGATCCATTGATTACTTTTGCTGTGGATTTTAAATATGAACAAATATGGAACACAGCAAACGAATTTGGATAGTTTTCTCGTCTCTAGCTTTTTAAGTTGAAGGTTGCAGTCTGCCTGTACTGTATACCATTTGCTACTGTATGAGTCACGTGACTTTTTGCATATGCTCTTATCTAGTCACTTACTCGCTTGCTCATAAATCACTTGGGAATATTTGCATAGCTACTCAGCCATTGAGTCTTCTATCAAAACCTGAGGCGTCCTCTTTATCAGGTCTTGCCAAGGTTCTGACAAATGACGGGTTAAAGTAGACGGAGACAGGAGGTGGAGGGGGAGCATATGTTGGAGAGAAGACAGAGATAGGCATAGATAGAAAGGCTTAGTGGGTGAGAAAATGTATTCAGGTGATGAAATGTGGCGATCCAAAGCAGGAAACAAAAGAAGGGTGTCAAAGAGTAAAGAAAACACGTAAGTGCCTGTGACCTTAAAGAGGATGTAACTGAAGGATCAGTGGGCTGGGCATAGACACGTGTGAGCCAGAGTACTTTACCAGTCCAACACGAATTTAGACTTTGACATCAGATGATTTGAAAGTACTCATGATCTGAGTTTGGTTTCCTGTTACAGACCAGCTTATGGAGGAAAGTTCTGCGAAGGCTCCTCTCGGTCATATAAGCTGTGCAACACTCACGATTGCCCCCAAAATGCCGTTGATTACAGAGCACATCAATGTGCTGAGTTCAACAGCAAACAGTTCAGAGGATGGCACTACACCTGGAGACCATACACGAGAGTGGACGGTAAGATGATATTCTTTTTTCACATCAGAGGGGACAAAAGTCACCTCAAAATCAGTTCAAGAATCAGTTCAAGAATTGCTTTTTCATTAGCCAACTTAGTGTCCCCGTATCCTGAACAAGAAATTTTGGACCTCGTGATGGAGGCTTGTTCTTTGAAACTGTGCTCAAAAGTGACAATTATTCTCCCCAACCAGATCAAGACATATGCAAGCTTTACTGCTTTGCTGAAGGTTATGACTTTTTCTTTGCCCTGGCCAGCAAAGTCAAAGATGGTACACTTTGCTCACAGGACAGCTCTAACGTCTGCATCGATGGCCTGTGTGAGGTAATCGTTTTCCTTCTTCCAGGTATGTCATGTTTCAAACATAGTCATCACGTGTTGCCGTGTTTTGAAGACAACAATGGAAGGGAACTGCACTCAAGATATTTCTCCTTTGTTCACAAATGATTTAAACGCTCTAAGTGAATACTGTACATAATGAGGGATGAATATGACAACAGAGTTTTGTTCAACAGAGAGTGGGCTGTGACCGTGTGTTGGGGTCCTCAGCTGCACTCGATGTTTGTGGGGTGTGTAAAGGAGACAACTCCACCTGTAAGACCTACAAAGGACAGTACACAAAGCAGCATCATACTCACCGTAGGTCATTTTTCGATTTTTTTTTTTTTTTAAACCAATATTGTATTATTTGGTGGCTAACGCACAAGCAATTTGTATGATACAGGTACCTTTTAGTTTGGAGGGTTCTTTGCCAGTGCATTTTGTGTTTTTCTTATTTTACGTAGTATTACATTATCGGAGTTTATCTCAGCAGGTGAGATATTTGCATATTTGGGAAAAATAACAATATTGTAAAAGGACACTGTAGTTTTATTGAATCTTCAAAAATCCAAACAAATACATGTTATACGTTTTATACTATTGTATTTTTGATACATTTTAATAACATTAAAAAAAAGTAAGAACATAAAGAAGAAACTGTTTTCATGTTTATTAAAAAGTGCCTTCATTCTTTTCATTGAATAGTACTTTTAAAAGGTACATTATACAGTCGGTATAATTTCAAAACACTTTGACTTTGGGCTTGCAGCTTTACTAAGTTTGTAGTGACAGAGTCAATTTCGATTATCTGTATTTTGTCTGCACCACATCCTGACTTTATTTTGCTGTGCTTTCTGACAGAGTACTATGGTGTGGTCACCCTTCCAGCAGGGGCTCGCTCTATTCGCGTTGTAGAATTGAATACATCAAGCTCCTACTTGGCAATGAGGGACACCCAGAAGCGTTACTACCTGAATGGACATTGGACGGTGGACTGGCCAGGCAGACATCCAATCGCGGGAGCCATTTTTGAATATAAAAGACCTTACAACAGACCAGAGAGCCTCATATCAGCTGGACCCATTAATGAGACTCTGGTTATTGAGGTAATTAATTGGTTCTCTGTGGTCGAACCGTAGATCTATTGTTTAGATATAAGTTTTTGTGCAGCAAATTTCAGCTATTTTTGGTTTTGTTTAGTTTTGTCTTCACTTACATTGCACTTGTCATGTGTTGCATTCTTTCAGATATTGTTGCAAGGTTTGAACCCAGGTGTACATTGGGAATACACTCTGATGAAAACTGAAGCAAGGAATCAAATCAAACACAATTACACATGGGCCATCATACGCTCCAAGTGCTCGGCATCATGTGCTGGAGGTACATTTATTTACTTTTTACATGACAAACGTCAAAACTGTAATCCAGGGATATGAAAACTAAATGATGGAAGGGGCCACAATTTTTCATCAGCAATACTCCGTGGCCACAAAGGAAGGACCACATACGTCCTAACCAGATGTATAACAAAAATGCCATTTTAAATATTGACAACATTTGTACATATGTCTGCTTTTACTGACCCGATTTACATTTTAATATTTTAATGTATTTCCTTTTTCACAATACATTTCTCAATGCATGTATGAAAGTTCGAGCCTTGCCATTTCTGCCATTAAGTGGTCAATGATGATAGCACAACTTAAAACTATTCTCTGGAAACCTGCTATTCGTGGGTGCTAGGGACCGGGCTGGCCCGCGAATAGCAAAAATCCACATCGGGTTGACCCCAACTGAAATGTATTGCAAAACATTATTATGATAATTTATTTGTATCCCCCCCAGAAATATTGTGATAAACCTCCAATATATATTTTCCCTTAAAAACGGGGGGTTCTCCCTGACCCAGAAACACCCCTTAAAAGAAATATATTTATTTAAAATATTGAAAAAGTATGCAGGCCGCAAGTCTAGCGCAGTCTGACTGAGCGCAGGGGTGAAATTTTCTTTCGTTTTTGATATTTTGCGAGACTTTGCATCGGTAAAAATGTGTGTAACCGGGCATTTGTGCTTTTGAGCGCTCTTGTGGGATGAAATGTAGTTTTTTCAGGGCCAGTCCTCGCAGCATCCCTCATTTGCATCAAAACCAATGGAGTACAGAGCGTACGCCCGAGTACGATGTGCTTGACCTGAGTATACCAAAATTACACTCGCTGGAGTTCGTGCATGACATTGGCACATAAACTGCAATATCTCCCCTTCCGGATGACGGAGTCGGCCATATGTGTGACGTTCAATTTGAGAAGGCCTTGCACCGCTCGATTGTGCGACCATGTGTGACTCTCCCATCAACAATCATGTTTCAGCATGCGACCTTCGCATCCCGTAGCCGACTATATTTTCGGTGCATGATCGGCCCATCAACGAAAACTGCACCGCGTGACCGACACACCGTCCCTCACTACTCCTTCCACACCATTCCCCACCCAACCCCATTGACAATTATTTTTTGGTAAGCGAAGGCCGCCATCGACGACTACCGTATTTTCCGGACTATAAGTCACAGTTTTTTTCATAGTTTGGCTGGGGGTGTGACTTATACTGTGGAGCGATTTATGGGTGAAATTATTAACACATTATTAACGGTCTATCATTTCACATGTTATTTTCACATTAAACTACAAGAGGCCGCTCGAGACCTGAATTGATAAAACCACGATGAGTCTGACGTAAGCGACGTAGAAGAGGAAGCGCTGAAGCATCTTCTACCTCCGGAGTTGGTGGAGTTGCTTTAAAGTGACACAGAGGATGAAGATTTAATTGGATTTAGTGATTTGGAGTGACATTGATGGTTTGGTGAACTTGTCAGCATGTTTATGCTATAGTTATCTGAATAACTCTTAATATGTTACTTGAACATACCAGGCACGTTCTCAGTTCGTCGTTTATGCGTCATGTAACGTTAGCATATCGTACACTTATTCTGCACATTTTATTTTTATTTTAAATTGCCTTTCAAGATGACATGTATGTTCTTGGTGTTGGATTTTATCAAATAAATGTCCCCCCAAAATGTGATTTATTCTCCAGTGCGACTTAGATCTGTTTTATTCCTTCTTAAAAATGCATTTTTGGCTGGTGCGATTTATAATCCGGAGCGATGTATAATCCGAAAAATACGGTATTCCCAGGCCGAATTTTGGTCCCAGCACATCCCTAACACCACCTTTAATCTTCCATTTGAGCCAAGCAATGTTTGCCAACCCAATGATGAAAAGGGCAGTTTGTAATTGAAGGAACAAACTCACATGGCTCACACCCTTGTGATCTCTAATAAGGGCTTGTAGGTTAATGGGAGAGGTCACCGTTCCCATCATTATCTAAGGGACATTAGCTGTTCCTTGATGGGCAATGTGGTCGACTTTACACGCATAAACATAAAGAAGCAAGCACACACATGCATGACTCTGACCGGTGGCTTTTGTCTCCCAGTGGCCTAGTAAATGCCACACCGACACACATTTGCACACCTGCTCAAATCACTGAGGTTGCTTGAAAGTTTGGAGGTCAGTGTACAAAGGTTACATGTCACTATAAAGCTTGCATTTGTGCACATGCACTTGTTGGGTTTGAACAATGTGAACAAAGCCCCCACGCAGTGTAGTGTTTTTATGGATTGATCCTCGCCCTGGTCTGTTCCAGTCCATTATATCCACCTCCACCTCTGTGTGTAGACCACTAGGTTGGGGCCTTTGACATATGAAATATGTTTGCATATACTACATGCAAAATGGGGCTTTATTGTCATGTTGCATATTTAATGAAAAGTAATTTGGTTTTTTTGTGTCTTTTTGTATTGTATGTTTTGTTCTCATTTATGGTACTTTGAATGCTAACTATGGCATAAATGTTCCCATGCAGGCCAAATGAACACCAAGCCAGCATGTTACAAAGACATGCGAGTGCAAGTGAATACATCATCCTGTAATCCTAGATTGAGGCCAACTACTGGAATGATGCCTTGCAACACCCAACCATGCCCTGCCAGGTGACTCCTTCGCAGACAAGGGTGGTGCGGCTTAGTTTTAAGTGATTCACTTCACAGAGCTGCCAACCTATTTGTTTTCATCTCTATTGCACTAAATTATTGGCTGTGACTGTGTACTAAAATAAATGCATTGCGATTGCACAAATTAATATCAATGCGTCAAAAAAAAAAAACCAAAAACAAACACAAAATTATGCCATGTTTTTTTAACAATACACATTGCACACACAGACATGCACACAGACAAGGGCAGCAGTCCCCAAACGTTTTAGTGCCACTAGCCATTTTTATGTGAGGACATGTTTAAAATAAATAAGGATTCAAATTTTCACTCACCATGAGCGACACTTCAACGAGCCATGGCCATTAGGCGCATTACAACAAGTATTAGGACACGGACAGTAACAACACAGTGCAGTGTCCTGAGATTTGTATTTTTAATGTTAATAATAGCAAAACCTCACGTTTCTATGACTTTTCAAACAACCTTCTATGCCATTTGTCTTAAGTCCCAGAGCTTGGGATGCTCGAACAGATGCCCTATGAATAACTTTTTCCTCCATTTTCTCCATTTTTAACGTACAACTCCGCCAACATTTCTTGATTTTGTCACTATGAAATCACTCCACCACCATCTCCTCTATTAAATGGTTTCATAGTGTGCTGCCGCCCAAATGAAAAATAAAAAAGCTACATAATACTGTCACAACAGCCATGGTGACAGGGTCACCCCTCGTGCATGCACCACCCGCTGCAGTGGCACATCACCGTGTCGTTAAGCAGCACATACACGATGGAATAGGTGATGGCACACTGCTCAGTGCTAAGTGCAGTGTGAAAAGGCCTTAACACATTGATACGGGTCTACTAACCTGTCCATTTTTCCTTCCTGCTCTCTCACATTTCCTCACAGCTCTGTGCATGTGGCCTCTCCAATTGCGACACATCCGCTCTAATAATAATAATAAAATAAAGAAACAATGTCAAGCAGAGACTGTTTTTCCCACCCTTTCCCAGCCCAGTAAAACACCTGTTGAATAATGACGCCTTTCTTTCCTTTCATATGCATGTAATGTGAAAATGATTTGTATTTTGGCTAATGCATTTGAGGTATGAGAGTAGGGAAGTTCCACTTGGATGTTATGTTTATTTTCTACATCCTTTATCCAATTTTCAATGAAACCTCACAAACTGTCAGTACTGATTAGCTTCTGTGTTTGTTTGGAACAGAGGAAGGACCATTTCACATGTGGATCCAAGCGGATAAACATAACATTAACCCGATGAATATCCTAAGAGACTTTATTTTGATATCGGTATTTGAGTAGAATGATAATGCACTGCTAGCTTTATTAGGTAATTAAAAAGAAAAAATAGAAAGACTCATAATTTGAAAACTATCTATTGCAGTACATGGATTGACTTTTGATGTTTTTGCATTCATAAATGACTTTTCCCAGTAATGGTCATCGGATACAGGACAACGTTACGTTTAGTTTGAAGTTTACTTTTGAGTAACAGTTTAACATTCTTAATAGCCATACAAATGTTATTTGTCAATTAGCCTCTGTTAACCCATCCATCCATCCATCCATCCATTTCTTAATCCGCTTATCCTCACAAGGGTCTCGGGCGTGCTAGAGCCAATCCCATCCGAATTCGGGACAGTAGGCGGGGTAGACCTTGAACCGGTTGCCAGCCAATCGCAGGGCACACATAGACAAGCAACCATTCACACTCACAATCACGCCTAGGGACAATTTCAAGTGTTCTATTAACCTGCCATGCATGTTTTTGGAATGTGGGAGAAAACCCATGCAGGCACGGGGAGAACATGCAAACTCCACACAGGAAGGCCAGAACCGGGATTTAACCCTGGACCTCTGCACTGTGAGACTGACGTGCTCACCAGTCGCACACCGTGCTGCCCTTATGTTATTCTGTACAAACTAAATAGATGGTCTTAAATTTAAAGACGAATCACTTACATTATATCTCATGTGGTTGTTAATGTTCTGTATACAACAATAATATATTCTTTTTTTTCAATATTTTGGTAGCATTTTTATATGAAAAGAAATCCACTGCAAATAGTAAGAATGTGAACATTGTTTGTTTTTGTTTGTTTGTTTGTTTGTTTGTTTTACATGTTTTGATTCTTACATGACCTGCAAATGTGATCCAGATTTGAACATGCTTATTGTTTTGGATAATGCAACATTTTGCTATAGCACTCTATTTTTTAATGAAAGCAAAAGAAAAGACGAAAAAGTGCAGTGCGCTTTTGTAGAATCTCCTGGTACGGTTGCATTTATTCAAGGGAGTAGAGTTGAGGTACATACAACCCACCTGCACATAAAAGCGCACCATGACTGCAAAATGTCCTTTCATCTGTCAGCTGTGGTCTGCACTGTGTCATGAAAGGTTAGGTGCAGAGCAGAAAGAAAATTGATGGATGACACACTTGGGATGAGACTAGTTCGTGTGGTTTTATTGATGAAAATGTTTCTGGAAAATATCTTTAAATCCAGCTGTACAAGACATTGAAATAGATTAATACGGAATTACACAATATTTAAATAAAAGTACTGATTGAAATTTAGGTTAGTATTGTAGACTTATTGCTGCAAAAGTAGTGCATGTGTAACTTCCACGGAGTCCTAGTGTTGTGCTCAATTCTACACTAACTAAGACTTGCCAGACAGACCAGAACTCGTTGAGACCAAGACAAGACATAGACTTTTGGAGATCGAGACTGAGTCAAGACCAAGACGGAAACAAGCCGAGTCATGACATGGCCGAGATCATAAAAATTAAGTTTAAAAATCAAGACAAAGATAAACATAGTGTTCTCGCTTCAGTGTTTTAGTCTTTCAAATACCCATACAGTTGACAGTCAAAAACACAGTCTCTTCACCTCTTTTGAAGCACAACATGCAAAAATGTCAAATCTTATTTTATTCCAATGTGAGGGAACACTCTGACATGTACAAGACATGTCCTGAATATCAATATCCTTTGTGAATAAGACCTTAAGAACGGGCAAACACTGAGTGCAAATGAAATGCAATTAAAGGCGCTATTAGCGGCCGTAGTGCATTCTTTTTGGATTTACCCCTCAGTCACAACACTGCCAAGTTTACCGTCATCAAGTGGTGTTGGGTAGTTCGTAACACATAAATCGAAGGTATTTGTTGTTTGACCAAGCGTTTCTCCTTATTCTCACATAGATGAAGTTGAAAAATAGCAGATGAATACTGCACAAATCCACAGTTCATCCAGTCAGAGACAATACCAAGACTTTTTGGAGTTGAGTCCGAGACAAGAACTAGACCTTCAAAATGTGGACTTGTGACCAAGACCGTACCGAGTGTAACAACACTCTAAAGACACGCCAACCTATCGCTGTTGACTCCAGTGAGGGCATTCAATGCAGATATATTAGACGCCCATCTCTAAAGAATAACAACATTTATCAATCTTTGACAGCTGCTGTTGAAGCTTCAGTTCCATTGGGGCTCTTCTCGAAGTGCTCCCACGTAGTCTCTTAGCTGGAGTCTGAAATGTTCGCCAAATAGTTGCAAATAAAGTGGGCGTAGCTGAAAAGCTGTGCTTTTATAAGGGACAGGATTTAGTATAACTGAGGCCATGACCTCATCTTTCCTGTTGATGTCTGAAAATAATTGATATTGAGTGTTTTTGGCCATGTTTGTGACCAAGATATTGCATAAAAAAAAGGCTTGATCAAGAACATGACCAAGATTAAAACAATGGGCCTCTGATGTGGCAAGTTAGTGTGCTAGGTATACAGATATGGCTTCTCATGAGAACATAGTAAGACATTTTAATGAAAATTAATAACTTTTTAATCAGGAACTGTGTCCAACAACATACGCTATGATTATAGCATGAAGTGTCAAAATATCTATGCAAAAGTCATCGCATTTTTTTTTTTTTTCAAAATTCGGGATAACCTGTTTATTTATTTTTAGCTAACTTGCTGGTGTGCCTTAGATCACTGCCACGCTTCAAAATCCAAGTGCACTACAGTTTGAGGTTACAAACGAAAATGGCCAAGAACATTCTCCCTCAGGAAATATGTATGTAGGTCAGTTGTACAGTAATCCCTCGTTTATAGCGGTTAATGGGGACCAAAACCACCCGCGATAAATGAAAATCCACGAAGTAGCGACCACCCCCCCCCAACTCCATATAGGTACATGTACATAATATTTATAAGGCCAAATTTAATGGTATACATGCATGTAGAAATAAATTTTGAAGTAATTAACATGACTTAATGCTGTATACTAATAGATTTAAACATTGGATTGGATTGGATACAACTTTATTGTCAAATGTGCTCAGATGAAATTTCTTCCCTCTCAACATAAAACAATAAACAAGAGGATGTATAAGTTAGGTTAGTTTATGAATAACAAAATACAGTAAACATATGCATGTAGTACTGTTTATGTTGCTCTATGTGACTCGCTGTTGTTTTGCCGACTTTTGCTGCTTCTCGTGGACCTTTAGCGGACTTTTTGCGGGGTTAAAAAAATGTTTAAAAAAAATCCGCGATATGCACTGAAGCCGCGATAAACGAACCGCGAAATAGCGAGGGATCACTGTATAGAGTAGCAGACATACTATTGAATTCAGAGCTCTCTAACAGGCTCTGCATGTGCCATATTTGATCTTTTTTTTTTTTTAAAGATCTTGTATTTGACCTTGTAGCTTTTACCAGCATACCGAATCATAGCATTGAGTGATGACATGTTGGGTGGATTTTACAAGGCTGACAGGGGATATCGAAGGTGGGGTGTAGGAGAACATGACAAACCCCTATGATGACGGATTCAGACACTTGCACTTTAAGTTTGAGGTCACGAGATGTATTGCCAGCTCGCTTTTAATTAGTCTCTGAACAAAGATGAAGTAGGTATGCAGTAAAAAAGTAAAAATTATGCACATGGCTGTTTCACAATCGGCAAACAATGGGTTTTAAAAGTTGTGAGTCAAAGACGGTAAGCATTGCAGCACTTTTGTTAAGTAGGCTAAACTAAATATGATTGATAAAAACCACATGTGGTAATGTTTACCTCTTGCAGGGATGAGCGAGAGATAAGAAAAGCAGGCTTTAAAAACACATGGCTTTCAGTTCCAGTCAAAAAGCTATGAGTATGGATTGTTTTGACTTGCTCTAAAGCCAGTCAGCCATGAACAAATGTCTAACTGCTTGGCGAGTTAAGCCTGTGGGCCATATTACATGCAATGTGTCAGGTGTCAAAGACAGCAAAAAAAAAAAAAAAAAATCTCATGATTACAGCAGTGGATTATCTTTCTTGTCAGTGCCCTCCCGATTTCCTTTGTACTTTCACAGGATGATTGTTCATTGTTGTGGTAACAAGGTACAGGTAGGAATTTTGGCTCAGGCATTTCTGTGTTGTGTTAAGCATTATACAAATGAAATGAATGGATGGATCATAATGGACACGAGACGACCAAGATAGTTGTTATAAAAATTCTAATCCTCAACTGGTCTTTTGTTTTGTACAAGTCACAATTTAATCGTTTTTTGAATTATAATAAATAATGTCATTTTTCAAAGTACATACATTTTCAATGTAGATTACTTGAGTAGGAATTTATTTTTTATAACTTTGCTGTGTGAGTTTTGTCTTTTGCATGTTTATGCAAGTAAGTTTTTGAAACAACTTTTTTCCTTTTGAAAAGTTACACATGCAAATGACAACACTGACAAAGTAATCTCCATTCACACAGAGTTGCAGAAACAACTAGGGTGTACTTTGCATGGAAGACGAGTACCACGTGCACGCTTACCACCTGCTTGACTTTGTGGGCGATTTTTCTGCCATTTTGAAATGTGTCAAACATTTTAAGTGTTCAGTTTTTAAAACGCTGATCTTTTTCCATTGTTTATTGTTCTCCACCTCCCACTCCAAGTTTCAGATAAATGGGAACGCCCAGTTGACAATAATTTTCTTATCAAACAAATGTCACAAAAGTCATCCATTTCATAAAATATCACTCCATGAGCAATAGTGCGTTCTGTTTTTGCTCAGCGTTTGACAGGGGTACCGTCATCACTGAAACAAAATTGTTGTACTTATCATGCTGTCATTTGTGAATTCCGGCCATATGCAATAAGGGATTGGGAAGCTGGCCTTGTTGACTCAGCAGGCAATGTTGTGTTTTCCCAGCTGGTCTGTCGGGGTATGGGGAGCATGCAGTCATAGCTGTGGAGGAGGGGAGCAGACACGGCAGGTCCGGTGTGTCCGAAGAAGTCAAACCAAAGATGACACCCTTGCTGACTCCCACTGTTCTCAACTGACCCCAGCCAGGAGGCAGGCCTGCAACACCCACAGTTGTCCACCGGCGTGGACGACGAGCCCGTGGTCACAGGTGAGCATGTGTCATTAATATGTGAAAGTCACCTTGACATCCATAGTATCTGTGTGCCAAACTGATGTGAGACAAGTAAAGAACAAATAAAAGTAAAACTACACTTTTCTCAAAGTAGAACCACAACTGTCCCTGCACTGGCTAGGCACATTCAGGTCTTAAAGGAGCTCGAACATGCTGGGAAGTCACCGTGTTTTATGACTATGATCTCAATAGCTTTAGACTCTCAACAGGTCCATTGAGATCTACTCTATTGCAGCCTCCGTCCAAGTCCTACGCAAAGTTTTGGAATCCCAAATAACTGCACTAATTAACACAAGTGGGGTTCTTCCGCCCTGCCGCGCTGTGCCACTACGGTGACTCATTCACTTGGATATGGCAAAACTCTTTCAAGATGTTGATAACGGCACTTGGCGCCATTCTATTTCAAAGAATATATTGAGGAAATAATGGGTCACTCTTTGGAAAATATGAATTGTTTTTTGACCTTGCCCCTGGTGTGGAACTTATTGTGCTTCACAGGGCTGTGTTAGTGAAGTCCTTACAGGCCTTTTATTTTGATGAAGCACAAGATGTTTTTCTTGGTTGACTTGTTGACAGTCTGACCGTCACAATGTTGTGAAGTTTCATTTATCTCATTGGCTGCGCAAAGTAATGGCGCTACATTTGTTGTGTCCAGGGAAGCTCCTATCCAGCATTACGTCTGTCATATTATGCTGTTCATGCATCTATTATTTGCATACAACTCAAGAAATGACCTACGAATTTTGAATGATAGTCAATTCAAGAAGGCAAAAGGCAGTAAATGTTCAACTGATTGTTTTCAAGTGTTCAGAAATAGTGTTGCCCTGTAAGCAAGTACTGTAGGGAGCTATCCAATCCAGAATGTTTCTTTTAATGTATGCAGCACAACATCTGTGATACTGTTGCCTCGGGCAGTTAGGTTTCAAGGATAAAAAAAACCAAATACCAAATATGAGAACAAAAACAAAAAAGGAATGTATTTTTAATGTGTTTCATTAATTGCAAGCACTTAAAGGAACATCTACTTTCAACCGTGATGTATATTTTTTTGGACCCCACGCAGAGAATTACACACATGCAAGGACAGATGTCTCTGTGACATGATGGGCAATTTCGTTTTCTGTTTCAGTGTTCTCACAAATGCGGTCATGGCTTGAGGAAGAGGACAGTGTTGTGTACAAGACTCAACACAGGTAGACAATCACAGACGCTGCAAGATAGTTTGTGCGTAGGCTTGCCGAAACCTGCTGGTCAAGAATCCTGCTTCATCAAACGCTGCCAGAAACAACGCAAAGTCCAGTGGTTTGTCTCAACGTGGCAAGAGGTGATTTTTGGAGGAGGTGTTGGACCTAATATTAAAATATACAGGAATTGTATTATTTTATGTAATTGCAAACTTGTTTTTTTCCCCCTGTTCCTTTTGTATATTCAGTGTTCAGTAACATGTGACCACGGGTATCAAGCACGTTTCATCAAGTGTGCTGAAAAGGTATGTACTTTAATATGTGTTCATGATACAAACTGAACAATAGATTTTACTGGAAACAGTCTTATTACAATTGCAGCTTCTAGTTGATTTTCTTATTTCTGGTTCCCTAATTTAAGGATGCAGCCGGCAGATACAGAGAACTTGCAGCCAAAAAGTGCCACCACATCCCAAGGCCCAAAGTGGCTCTCCACCGGCGCTGCATCTTAGCAGAGTGTCCAGTGCGTACAACCCCATCACTACAGTGGTGGAACGCACATACTCATCCACCTTTACCTCTCCCAAGACCCGAATGGCATGCATCTCCTTGGTCTGAGGTATGGAAGAACATTGAGAAACGGACCCCTTTTACCCACTCACATAGGAATCGACCATGCGAAATTTAGTAAAACCAGATTGATGTCACTTATGTGGTCATCTGCCTTTGTGCTAACAGTGTACAGTGACATGCGGAGGTGGAGTACAGGCTAGGATAGTCCAATGCCTGGCCCAGAGGAAACCCTTTTCTGGTTGTGCCCTCCATCTGAAACCACCAATGGCCCAGGCCTGTAATACCAACTTCTGCCCACAACCTGACCAAAAGGGTATGGAACCTCCTCTATGACCACAATGTATATACTTACTTATAAATAATAACAATTGCATGATGGATTGCACATTTAATCATATTCAGTTTGGATTACAGAGTCAGAGAGGTATTAATCTAACAATATGAAGTATCATTTTTAAAGTTTAGACCTAAGCTCTCTGCAACACACTAAAGCGTCATACAAGTAAATGATGTTAACAATTCACTGCAAACACTTCCCTTTATGATGCAGTGCATTTGTGCACGACTGAAAATTTTAACCATAGACATAGCACACTGTCAAAATAATTTGCTCTTTTATTGGTCGTATTGGGTGAACCTAATTAAGTGTTTGGGCATTTCAGCTAAAGAATTTCCCATTTTTCTTGACAGATTTGGCATGTCGGGATTACTTCCACTGGTGTTATCTGGTGCCACAGCACGGCGTGTGCAACCACAAGTTTTATGGCAAGCAGTGCTGTCATTCCTGTTCAAATTCAAACCTGTAATCACGGAAGAATGACTTTGTTTGTGATGCAGACGGGAAGGTAGTTAAGATCATCAAAAGACCATTCTTGATTCCCATGCTTGAAAGGTTGTGCTGATGTGTGCTCGTGCGAAGCACTAAAACTCTAAAGACAATTCAATGGAAGTTTTGGCGAGCTGCAACAACTGAGTCTTTTCCTTGCGATGCTGGACATCTGAAAACAAAAACGTCTTGCTGAGAGTGCTACACAGGAATGTGATCAGAACGGTGCTAAAAGAACTGAGGTCTTCGGAGAAATAAACTGGTATCCCGGCCGAAAAAAAAAGGAATCCCAGAAAATGTTCTTGTCATGTCTCTCATCTGGAGAAGGCAAGTTCAAACATCTGATGCATTCTTGTTGGCACTACAATGCCTCCTGAATAACAGTTAATGAAAAGGGACATAGCAAAATCATTTTACTGTAAAACTTGAAGAAAAAGTCCAAAGTGAACTTGGATTAGCTGGATAAAAATATGATTTTCCATATTCATAAGGTGAAAAAAAACCTTGAATAATTGAGGTACGAGTGATACTAGCTGTATACTCAGCGGTGCTACAGTGTTGTTTGTCACCACTCCAATGTGACTTCAAAGTTTCATGAATGAACGAAAATAATTGTTGACCCATGTACAGTGTGTTTGTTATTTATTGGCTTTATGATACACCATTGCAGGAGAACTGCATTGGGAAGCAGTATAACTCACCTTTTTATTACTCTACCCTTAGCCCATGAATATTTTGTATCCTGTTTCATAAAAGGCTGGCTGAAAAATTGCTCCATTTATAATAGGGATGCACACTTTTTTTTTCATACCGATAACGATAAATTCCTATTCCTCAAGACCGATAACCGATAACCTTTTAACATTTTGAGTTAACTATAGTTTGTACAAACATGGATGAATCAAATACTCAAAGATTTGTCCTCTCCAAATATGACAACACCATTACAACAAAAATCAAAAGCTGTTTTTTTTTTCTAGAATTGCACATTTATATTTTTTTAACCAGATGCTTTGTATTTAACGGCTTCTCACATGTAAATTTTAGCCAAAGTTCAATAGTTCAATGCATGCCAAAAAGATAGAGTAAACACATGTAACATGCCGTATACATACAAACAAGTACAGATAGAAAAAGACCTACAAATGAACATGCAGATGAGTGAAAACGTGCAAAAGCATTGATCACCTCACAGATCAATAGTCCACAAACTGCGGCCCGCGGGCCGGATATAGCCCACCTCCACCTTTTGCCTGGCCCCCTGCACAATACGAGACATGCATCATCATTTTTTTCAATCTGGCCACATGATTGAGACTTATACATGCATAAAACGTAACATTCTATTCCACCCTTCTGCAGTCTGAACCCCCTCCCTCAAAAAAAAAAAATTAAAAATCCTGGACACACCCAAGATTATGTAAGAGAAAAATCAATTGGTTATTATTCAGAAATAGTGGTATTTATATCATTCATAGTGTTATTTTCTCTATTTTCTGACTTCTGGGTCAGTAACACAAAAAAAAAAAAATGCTTTTTTCCCTTCCTTGTGGAATACTTGTAGAACATTTGGTGCAAAGAGCATGCTAAATGTCCTCCTCTAAAACAGTGAAGAAATCCCACACAATCAATCTTATGTTTGTTTCTCATGTTTGTTTGTTTGATGTGTGCTCACTGTATTGTTTACGACGGGGCATTTTCGCTAGAAAGGAGAGCTTGATTTACACACAGAGTCCCGCACAAAATGCGCTGTTTGTTTATGAGAGACCTGACTGCAGAGCGCATTTGAAGGAATTGCTCAACGTGAGGAAGGAAGGGGGGCTAAATATTTGACTCCGCCCATGTGAATGCTGATCCAAATTCAGTCAACTGCAAATGAAGAAGTCAAATACGCTCATTGCACATGCCGCATTTACATTAAGTACCCTGAACACACACTGAATGACCTTCCATGGCTCGACTCAAAATGGCCGTTTCAACCACTTCCGTCAAACAGTTAAGTTAGCTCCGCTCCGACTGACTGAGTGGTGAGAATTTGTAATTTTTTTATGTTTTAAAAGTTTAAAAACGGAGGAGCTTCGAGTCCGCATATGCGGAGTCAAGCATTTTGGTCCACCCCACATTGAGCCCTACCTCAAATTGCACTCTGCAGGGCTACTCAATGGTGAGCGAGCTCAGAGGTGAGTTTTTGACAGGAGTGCATGATTTGTTCACTCAAATGTACCAAATGCAAAGCACAGCCTCAATTAGATTTTCCTCTTTGTTCTTGTTTGCTTTTTTTTTTTTAAGCTTTTTTTTTAATGTTATCGGATTTGTTGATATGACCTCATGATTCCTAATATCGGCCCAATAATCACTTAATTATCATGCATCCCGAATTTATATTAAAATTAATTATATTTCTATAAAAATAAAAACTGAGCTCATAATGATTATAAACAACTATTCATGATTTGACAAATGATCAACAACAGATGGTAAGTAGAAGTTTTAAGTTGGATGATAACCTTTTTAATTACAATTTTTTACTTTTGATCCCACAGTAAATGACAAAATGTGAGGACCGTGTGGATATTGTGTAAATGATTTGATACAGGTTCACTACAGTATTGTGTTTTATTTTTGGCTGTAGACGAAATGACAGGAAATGGCTTGTGCAATGTTGCAGCAATGTTTACAATCTCAATAAAATAATGAAACGTGTCATCCACTTTCTTTTCTTTCTAAAGTGCAGATTTTATCTACAGTTCACATTCATTCTGACTCAAATTGTGGAAATTCAAATTCATGTCTGTTTTATTTATAGGGAGTTTTGACAAACATGGCAAACAATTCGTCCTCAGTACGTTGGTGGGCATGGTCGTACTCTTCACCCAATGCTCTGTCGTCAACCATCTGTGGGTGCTGTGTAATGTAATTTATGATGCTCATAAAAAGCGTGAGGCTTTATTCATGTATTCCATTTTATGAGAAATGAGCCACACACATTGTTAAACTGAAGTCTCAGGAATTTTCTGAGTGCAACCCAGTCAAGTCAAAACTTGATTTAATTGTTTATGTCAAGAAAAGAGAACAACTTGTGTTTGTAGTGAAAAGTAATTTAAGAATACGAGCAGTAGAGCTAGGGCTCAGGATAAGTTGTTTTTGTTTATGCAACAAAGCCTTTCAGACAGCAACTTCCTGTAAAACGTCCATTGTGATCAAGATAAATCTGGTAAAAAGCAAAGCATTACTTAAAGCAGGTCTTACTTAGCTCTGGTCAAAACTTTGCTATCTCTGACTACATCTGTTTAGAGAGATTAGTGTTTCGCCTCAGAGACACTCAGGTGGTCCACTGAAAGACACAGTTATCCTTCCATCAGGATGCACCCACATCAATCACAGCAACTTTAGTTGGATGACACCAACTGAAGATATCCTCCCACACTGGTGAAAGGACTGGAGCACTGCACATTTCATGTCACAAAAACAGTTGGAGAAGGTATCTTAGTAAACTCCTGTTTTCAAACAAATAGCAAGCAACCGGTAGACTCAAATGTGTTTAATTTATTTCCATGAATAATCTTTGGTCATATCATTGACAACAGACAATGCAGTTGGATTAAGTTTAATTCAAAATCCCAACATGGAATCACAGAATACATTTTAACTGATGCACACAACAGCCTTATGACCATGTATGATAATCTCAAAGCAGCCCAACAGATGGTGAAGTTGGGAGACAGTATTCATAGTAGGCTGGACAACTGACCAAAAATGAACTGTGATTTCGATGTTGGCTTCGCTTTCTTTGTTTTCCCTTAATTTGTTGGTTTGTTTTTCCCTCGCCCTCTACGGGTAAAATCGGGGGACTACGGCTGAAAACAAGCAATTATGATAAATCCAGCTCATTTACCCTCTTTACTCTTGTGTTGATTATTGTGCACTGTCGCAGTGAAAGAAAGAAAGAAAGAAGTGTCGTTATTATTCATCAACGGTGGGCTTGTGAAGCCCTTTGAGACTATTTTGTGAATAAGGGTTTGACTTGAGCACCTACCCATTAATTTCTGTGCACGTAGTAATGGATCTCTGTGACAGCAACCTGACTGAGGGTTTCGCTTGAGAAACACGGATCCAGAATCCGTACAACAGCACCATCTACTGGTGATATCTCTAATGCAAAGCGAGTTGAAAGAATTTACTTTGCTCCAACACCAACAAACAGATTTGCGCTGTGGATGGTGTGCAGCGTACTCGTCATTTTGAGTCTGAAACATCATGTACTTGATTATCATTAAAAAGTCTTATTTTATGAATTACCCACGTTTATTTGAAAACGGGAGGGTCGGGAAGTAAATGAAAACGCCAAATTATCACCAGTAGGGCGTGCTGATGACGCCTCCTCCCAAAAAAAGTTTTAGCATTTATGTCACTAATACCATCTTAATGTCAGTCAACAGAATTTCACATAATTAAAACAAATAATAGTATTATCGATGGCTGTGTTCATGCAGGGCTTAGGAACATGTTGTCACGCCCAATAGGTCATAACGGACTGCCAGAACAAATTTGTTTCTGTTCGGGAGACATAAAAACAAACAATGTCCACCAAAGAAACTCACAGCAATTCAAAATGTATCACTATATGTGCGTTTGACATAAATTTAGTCGAGGATTATGCTTTAAGCAGAAGAATGATTTTATTAGTCTGGCATTTCCGGAAGTTTCCTCAACTGGGTCCTGCCTTGGGTCCTTGGCAACGTTGAAGACGTGAAAATGTGTTTGTTTTGAACCCGTGGCCACTCGTTGTAGACTCGATTAACCTCAATTTGTAAGATTTTTGTTTGTTTGTTTGTTACATTAGTACCATGATGCCAGGGGACAACCAGCCCAAAGCTGTAGCAATAGCCTCGGACGCGAGGCCAGCGAATTGTCAAAATTGCTCCCTTTTGCACCAGGTCTGACACATCAAAGCTTTCTCGTTTCACTTTTTTTAATATAAGCGATTGTTTATTAATCTTTGTCACTTTATGCAGAGCTTAACGGAATACGTGTCATCATTTTTGTCACTGAAACAGAAGATTATGGTTTCTGCGTAAGTATTGATTTATGCACTTGGACGAGAACACACACTTGGACTATTGGTACACGAAGTGTACTAATAATAAGTTACTAATTAATAATTAATCTGGATGTTAGTTACTAATATACGGATTAATTTTAGGCAATTTTCCGGAGGAATTGTCATGAAAATTTGAAAATCCGGAATCCCGGGAAAATCCGGTCTACTTTCATCTGTTAGTTGACAACATTGAACGAACACGCGTTTGAGTTCGTTGTTTTGATGTCACGGGTGTAGCCATGTTGAGGCACTGACACTAGTAACAGTAAAGAGATTTTCGTCTCTTTATAAACATACTTGCTAAACCCCAGTGGAACGAATAAAAGGCGCCGTGGACAAGACGGTTGTTGTAGTAGAAAAATATATATTTGGACAAAAAGGGAAACACACAGATTAGCAGGAAAAACGTGTCGTATCGGCTAGTGTAGTTTAGCCGTTGTCGTAGCGCAAAGCTTCCTTGATATGTGACCTCGGTTGCGTCGGCGCTGACTGATTGGGACCAAAAGACGCGCGCGCGCGAGCGTACATGTTCGCGCTGACGCACGCACAACAGAGAGCAGCGGACTATCGACTGCTGAGGCGCGCTTCGCTCGAGTGGCGTCGCTACAACAGTAACACCCTCCACTTTAACACCAGGTAGACAGGCAAGCTGACATATGTTGCAGCTCCGAAAAAGGAGAGCTGTGTTGTTGGTTTTTAAAACGGATAATTTATTTCTGCTTTTCAGACTCAACCAATAAAGACACGTCCTTCTCCGTCTCCGTGCCTTCTCCTCTGTCGTTTTACTCGAGAGACGTTCAAGGACCGCCTCCGAAAAACGTAAATTAACGATAACTTTAATGGCACGAAGAAATTCGAAAATAATCCACCAGAAAAGAAAATCAAACTCAGAAATCACAAAATAAATTCTAGGGGGGGAGGGGGGGGGGTGAACACACAACGAAGGAATAAATAAACAATTTTGAGACCGTCCAGTCTCCTACACATACGTGCAATAGACGTGAGTGTTAGGAACACGTTCAAGTAGTCATGACTTCAGGAAAAGGACTTGAACGGATATTTTTTTGACCGACTGCATTAGAAAGGTCGACAAACCTGGTAAATCAGTTAAAATCATATATATATAAATATAAATATATATATGTATTTATTTATTTATATATATTTATTTATTTATATTTATATTTATTTATTTCAGGAATTTTCAGAAAAGTCCACTTTCATCTCTGCCCGGGCATTACAATTTTCCAACAAAAATTGGATCAAAAACTATTTTGATCATGGACCAACACAACAAGCTACTTGATGTAAATTGCACACCTTGCACAATTATTTTAATTTGGGTATGTCTTTTTTAGTGACATGATCACTCTACAACAACAGCACGAAGAGCTACAGAGCCAATTGGTGACTTTGGAGAAAAAAACAGCGGATTACGAATCTGTACAAGCAGAGTTGGAAGAACAAAAGGTATGTGTTGGAAAATAACATTTCAATATTCCTTTCGCAAGTTGATATGTTGAGGTCAGAGGCGGCCGAACGAGGGAGCATCGGGGACTCACACCCCACAGTCAAGGTTTCCCGAAAATAAAATGCAACACAAAATTAACCAGACAGTTTGATTAGACACACATTCAGGGAACTACATGTAACATAAATACACGTGAACAAGAAAGGAGTAACATCCATTGTGGCAACAGTTCAGGATGACATGGCGCGATGCTTGCTGAGAACTGCAGGGCTCAATTGTCGTGTTACTGACCAGCATTCTTGTGTCACTTTTTTAAATAGTTCTGCTAAATCAAACCAAACGATTCGCTTAACTTAAATTTGTCGAACCTTTAGAGTAACTTAGATTTGTCCTTACTCTTGTTGTTGTGTGTGTGTGTGTGTGTGTGTGTGTGTGTGTGTGTGTGTGTGTGTGTGTGTGTGTGTGTGTGTGTGTGTCTTATTTCATGAAACCATGACTGTGGGTCGTGTGGGAAACTTTGACATTGTGGTCATGTCTACCTCAGCTGTTTGCTACTAACAACATCCTTAGTTGCTACCTGGGCGCAATTTTGGTGACTACTGATTTTTTTTTTTTTAAGTCTGGAGGTCAGTGTTGTATACTGACAAGTAGAAAATGCAACTAAATCATCATTGTGTTCAGTTAAACAGGCTTGTTATCCGCACTAAGTAAATTGACACGTGATCTCTAAAGTTTGGTAGACATTGGTCTGTTTGGCTGACTGCGGTAGTGTGAGTTTTCAGTAACATCCGTGTGTGTCATAAAAAAGCTCCAGATCAATTGTAATTACTGTATTAGAATTAGATTTCATTTCACTTTTGTATTGTAATTTAACTGGAAACTGTTGTTTCAAATGTGAATTTTACCAACTTGAATTATTGTAGAGGATTCTTCAGGACTGTGGACAGATGTCTGAAGAGGTTGACAAGTTAAAGCAAGAAAACAGTATTACATTGGCTGAGTAAGTTGTCATTCCAACAACAACCTTACCATTTACATGATAATGGTTTTAATGAATATTTTTCACTTTGTTTCCTGCACCTGAGGAATGGGAAGCTTGAACACCAACTGAAGGCCATTAAAGGTACTTTGAAACACTTGCCTTTATGATTAAGGTAACTCTAAACAGTTGTTGTCATTTACAAGTGTCTCTTTGAAACATTTAGAACTCACAGAAACTCAGTCGCTTGAGAATGCACAACTGAAGCGGGAAAAGGCCATGTTAGAAATTGATTTGCTGAATGTCCAAGTAAGTAAAAGTGCACTCTGAAAGTGTTTACAACCCTCTGATGTCAGTCTGCATGTGGCATGTGAAATACAACATCAGCCTGTCTCTGCAGACATCTTTGAAGAAAACAGAAGAAAATGCAGATAAAGTTGAACAATTGTTACAGAATCAAGACAGGATAACAAGCATGTAAGAACATTTTTTTCCACATTTTCATTTATGTGCATTTAAGCTGCTGATAACGTACTGTTTTGTCCATCAACAGAAAAGAAAAACTTGCAAATAGCGTTGCACTGCTTGAAGGTATCTAAGATGTGTTCCACCCTCAATTTCTTTGTGTAAAAACAACATTATAAATATGCCTTGAATTTGGTCCATCAACATGTTCTCTCACCCACCCCCCCTCTCACTTTCAGAATCAGTTTCCCAAAGGAATAATCAGATATCACTACTGAATAAGGAGAAGGTCCAGCTGGAGAAGAACATTTTTGACCTCCAGGTGCAGTATAAGAAGTAATGTTTATGACTGTTTAAATGGAAGGAAGGCACAGTTTAACCTAGTTAATTGAAATGCACATTGTACTTACAGGGACGACTTATAAAACTGGAGCGAGAAAGAAACAAAGGTAAGAAACACTCTAATTTACAAGCACTGGCACCAAGTGAACAGTGCACACTTGTTGCAAACTAGTCAGATTTTTCTCTACCCAGAATACAGAAGTACATCAACTCAGGCAAGAACAGCTCCAGAACATAAAGTTGACAAAGGTGCGCTGTTGATATCAATTACTCTACAAACTGTATAAACTTCACAAACCTGCCACAGGTTTTAAATATTTCTTGTGGATTCCATTTTTACAGAAAAGGTTCGAATACTTCTTGAGCATCTATGGGCTTGTGTGGAACCGCAACACCACCAATCAGCCAACTTGTTGCATTTCCATGGTGAGCTCTCATGAGTACACTGACCACTGGAGCTTCCAGCTGTTTAATAGTTATGTTCCTGTTTTTTTCCACATAAAGCCTGACGTTTCTTGTAATTTCAGAGCCCACCTCTCAGCAGAGCAAATGTATTAATCAGAGCGATCAATCCCAGACTCCTTTCCACAATATTAGTGAAATCCGAAGATCCTCCACTCAGACCAAATCCATTGGGACACATTGGGAAACATCTCCACCTGTACAGAAAACCAAGAAACAAGCACCTCCGCTAACAAAGAGCACAAAGCGAGAGCAAGAACCCGTTCCAACAAACAACAATCACCTGTCCAAACAAGTCAAACTGAGTGAGGCTTGTGAAACGCCCAGTACAGAAGAGATATTGGAATGGTTCAAGCCTTTGCCTCCCTGCTTATCGCCACTACCTGTAAGACGTTATACAATTATTTATTTGCAATTGCAGTTTTGCACACACACACACACACACACACACACACACACACACACACGAAAAAAAAACATGAATTGAAACATGTATTTTCATTCCTTGCAGGATAACGGAAC